AATAAAATAAATGTGTCGTGCGAGATTTGGTTGATTGAGAAAATTAAACTAAAACGAATGAATGATTAAAATAAAAGATTGAGTTCTCTGTAATTAACGACGAAGGGAACAAGGATTGATTCCGGGGTAATCAGATTTCTGGCAGATCAGGCCTAATTACATGAATTTAATTTAATTGAGTCTAGCTAATCAATACTAAGTTCTTACCACTCTCGCGGCGTAGAGTACAATAATTTAGGGGACCAGACTGATCTCTCATGCGACAGGATCCTAAATTATTGCCAAGACGAACGAGCTTACGACCCCTTAATCGCTACTAATCTCTTAGCGAACGATTAAGTGTGTGTGAATGTGTTCTAGAACAAATTAGATCTCTCTTAATTTATTCTATGTGCAGTTGTAATTCTAGTGGCCATTTGCTTGATCAATCTTGTCCCAAGAGCTTGCGAGTCACGATGGTTGAGCCGCTAAGTAACTGACGAGTGAAGAGGAATACACTTATGTGACGAGTGTATTTACAGGCATTCTGTGAATCAAGGCACACAATTTGTCCAAAAGTCTTATTCAAATACTCCCTCCGTCCCATTGGATTTTGCCAATTTTCCTTTTTTGTTGTCCTAAAAAACTTTGCCACTTTCCTATTAAAACAACTAATTTGTGGTTCTGCACATTTCTCTCTCCTCTTCACAAATCTTAACCACATAATTTCTACTATTCTTATTTCTCACCTACTTTGCACTTGACAAAGTCCACCGGGACGGAGGTAGTATGTTTTTAAAATTATAAAATTGACTAAATACACAATATCATACTCCTATTAGCAATAAATGATTTTATATTCACATTGTTTGAATAATTTTATTTATTTTTGTTAGAGATCATTATTGATTTAATTATATCTATATTGTTCAAGTTATTTCAGGAGAATGTGTTACTTTTTAATATGTGCCGTGTTGAACTGCTTAAATATACTACTAATAATTATTGTTCAATATTGAATATGACATCAATGGATTATTAATTGTATTTTGTAACATTTTAATAATGGATTAAATATGTCGCTAGTAACACTGATTTAGTATATTTCGTTAGTCTATGATAATTTGTTGTATTGAGAGACATGCATGATAATATACCGATACCTTACCGTTACCGAACCGAAACTTCGGTATACCGAAATGCGGTATACCGAAACTTCGGTAAGGTAATGGTATATAAATTTTGTAAACCGAAAGTTTTGGTACGGTAAAGGTATGAGAGAAAATATTCGGTATACTGTACCAAACCACCCCTACAAGTCATGCATCTCGCCATTGTGACGATGAGATACGATTTGTAGAAAATAATGCAACAGATAAACCAAGAAGTATATAAATGACACATCATATATTACAAGAATTATAATAAGCGAGCTAAACTAAATTTGAAAAAATCAATAATATATTAACCATAGGAGGTAATGAGGTAATAATAAGGTATCATGCATGAAAATACGTAATTTCATATATTTGACGAAATTATAAATACGCAATTTCACGTGCAATTTGAGCACGTACATAAATGATTAGTTAGAAATAATTATTAATATAAACATTGGACTAGAAATAGTATGTGCACCGGTCAAATAAACTTCAAAGCTGGTCGATCTTATGTTTTTCTCTGTCTAGCTGGCCTTATAATTATTGTAAAAAAAATGAGCTGTATTTTTTGAAATTAGTTATTATGGAAAATTTACAAATATACTCTCGTAGATGACTGTGAGAACAAATATATATATGTTTTAGTTTTTGAAACAAATATACTTTTTTTTGGATGAAATGTAAATATATATATACGAATTATATAGTATCATCCAAAGTTTATATATATCATATGGACAAAATTAGAGGCATATTCAAGCATGGATACCCTATCAAATAAAAAAGCTATCTAAGCATATAATCTAAAGTCCATCATAAAAAAACAGCCATTAAGCCATGACAAAAACAAGTGATGATAAGTTCAAAAAGTAATCATACAGTACATGTATATAGAGTAGAGAACTTTGTACACCATATCCTTAATATGTGTAACCATATCATCCATCTTTAGAGTTGCTCCATCAAAGCGTATTGCATTTCGAGTCCTCCATATCTAATAGATTGTGTAGCTAAAGGCTATCCTTGTTGCCTTTGCCCTAATGTGTGTGCTCCTTTGCGATCTCTTTGGATCGACTTGACCGCACTTTTCAAAGATGTCATTTGCCTTGAGATTCCGAGCCATTCTTTGACCTTTTTTCAAACCTGCCTTGTACAAAGACACTCAAAAAAGAGATGTAATACCGTCTCCGGACCACCCTTACAAAATGGACATATATTAACAGGATCAAGGTATCCCAAATTGTCACAAGTAGCTAGTTTATTTCAATAGGCAAGCCACATTATGAATGGGAATTTGGGAGGAATATATGATTTCCAAATAAAAGACATCCATGCATGGAGTGTACCTTTAATTCTTAGGAGATCATATACCTTGGAGGAGGATAGCATACCATTGTAAGAAATCCTTCCAAGGTGAGTGAGGGTCTCGCTTATGGATGAGAATTTGGAGATAATGGAGTCTCGGATTAAGGCCAACCTTTTCATCAATTGGGAATCCCTATTGTGTGGAACAAACGTCCACACATCCCTCCCATGAAGATAGACTCCATGAACTCCTCTCACCCATAGTGTCTTGTTTTGAGTGTATATTCCATAAAGTACGAGACAATAAGGCATTATTCCAAACCTTTGTGTCTCTAAGGATGTTTTTACTTGGACTGTAATTCCTCCCAAACCAGACCAGACCAGACCAGACCAGACTTGGATAGTTATAAAAATACAAAGAAACCATACCAGACCAGACCAGAACAGACCAGATCAGCAAATTACAGTCCAAGTAAAAACATCCTAATTCTCAAACCCTCTTCTTTTTTGATAAGCATACATCATCCCATGTAACCTTTGCATGTCCCCTCCAAAGGAATATAGGACAAAAGCCAACAATCCTGTCCAAAAAGGTTTTAGGAACCGGAAATATACCTAACCAAAACGATTAGGGGCGGAGACAGGGGAGGGCCAACCTTGGCCCTGGCCCAGCCCAAATTTAAAAAATGTATTAATTTTTAGTGTAAAAAATTTCGGGCAAAATATTTTCCAAAAATTTTCTTTGTATCGGCCCAGTCTGGCCCAGTGTCCTGGCTCCGCCCCTGAAAACGATTGCTGTCTTTGCACTACAGATCTTATCAACTCAACTTTCCCCGCATAGGATAAGGACTTAGAATTCCAAGCATTCAAATAATCTGTGACCGTATCAATCAGGGGAGAGAATTGGGCCACAGAGAACTTAAGAGAAGCTAATGGAATTCCTAAGTACCTAACCGAGAAAGATCCTTGGTTGAAAGTCTACCATTTGGAGGATAAGTGGTAATTGATGTGCTATGTTCCCTCCTACAAAGATATTGGATTTGTCATGGTTGACCACTAGGCTAGAAACCCTACCATAGTCATGTAAAGCATCAACCAATATCTTTATAGATGTGGGATCTCCTTTAGAGAATAACATCAAATCATCAGCATATGCCAAATGTGAAATCTTTAGTTTGGAGCATAAAAGATGATAGTTAAAGCTAGGATTTGAGGTCCTAAGAACTAGCATCGGGGAAAATTACTCCAAACATAACACAGATATAACGTAGTGGACATATGACCCCCTTGTCTCAAACCTCTTTTCCCTTCAAACCATCTATGGAGTACACCATTTATGGATATAGAAAAGGAAGAGGTTGTGACACATTCCATAATCCAATTTACAAAAATGTTGGGCAACCTCATTCCCCTAAAAACATTTTCAAGAAATTCCCAAGAAATAGTATCATAACCCTTCCTAAGATCAATCTTAATCATACATCTAGGAGTGACCCTTTTCTTAGCATATCCCCTCACGAGTTCTTGTGCAAGAAAGATGTTATCAGACATAAGTCTACCATCAACAAAGGCACCTTGTGAGGGGTTAACCACACTAGGAAGACATGGTCCAAGTCTAGATGCTAAAATCTTGGTAATGATCTTATAAGTCACATTTGTACAAGAGATAAGTCTAAAGTCAGAAACCGAAGAGGAGTGATTTGTTTTAGGAATGAGTGCTACAACAGTGTGGTTGATTTGTTTAAGCATATATTCACAACCTAAGAAACTCCTTTACTGCAGCACACACATCCTCACCAAGTATTCCTCAATTAGATTTGAAGAAAGCTGACTTTGGTTTGATTGATCAAAACAGTAAAATTTGAAATCTAGATGAATATTGAAACACCGTTGGATTTTTTTTTATAGATCTATATATTTTTATAGTAGATTTCTAAACTAAAAAGTTTTAACATTAAACCTAGCTACGTGAATTGAATGATAATTAAGAAATCAAGGGAATGAATTATAGACTTGGTACAAAAATGGCATGCTGGAGGGGTAGTTTGATTGCTGGCGTTTTCTAATCCCATCATGCTGCTCATTGCAGCGTTTTAGCCTTAAAAAATTGACGTTTTGAGTAAAAAGCCTATACCTAAACATTAAACAACCCTGAAATCGTTCCAATGGGATTACTTTTTTTTTTGAAAATTTCCAATGGGATTACTTATTATTTGTCATGAGAAGGGACATTTTATGAGCCCGATGCACATAAACTCACACAAACGTAGAGTTTAGTATTTCTACTAGAAAAGATTTTTACTATATATATCAACTATTAATTACAACGGTTAGATTTCAAGTTTGTTAAAAAAAAGTGTTACAAACTCGTGTTTTCACCTTTCAAGTTAGTCTAGCAATATATAAAATTTAATCATCAAAAGATATGAAATTATATATACAAAATTATATGAAATTATATATACATACATTGCCACCGTGACGGTAAACGGTAGCATTGTATAGATAGGGAAAATTATCGAACTAAGACTAAAAAAGTTTGAGAATTTCAAAATAGGACTATCATGTTTTTATTCCCTAAATAGAAGTAATTACTTCCAAGTTTGAAAAACGGAATAATGACACGGATACCACATGCGGAAGAACTAATGACTAATATATGGCTGATTTTCAATTTTCCAAAAAAGAGACTCGTTTGGACAAATATGTAACTAAACGAGGTGTGAAATATCTCCAAAGCCCCTGATGAATTTGCCCTAAAGTATTCCACCTACACATCTTATGCAGCCAAGGAATTGCAATTCACCATTCAACAATGGCAGCCGCCGCCTCCTTCATTCCCGCCGGCTCCGCCTCCGTCGATCTGCATCAAAGTGACCGCATCCATCTGCATCGCCGTCACCGCCTCCGTCTGCATCGCCGTTGCCGCCTCAATCTGCATCTCCGTGGCCGGCTCCCTCTTAAACGACGACGCCCCTTCGTCTTCATCTCTGATGCCACTTCCGTTCCAATCTTCTCTTCTACTTTTTTTTTGTTTGATCTCCATCTAGCTAGGGTTGTGGCTATGGCGGATATATGATGAGGTGGCTTGGGCTTCTAGACGGTGACTGATTCGGATTAAAGAGGTGGCTATGGCGGCGATGCGGCGGTTCGTCTCGCTGCCCGTTGCCGTTGTGCGAGGAGCTGAGGAGGGGTGTGGGGGGTTAGCAGCGGTTGTACATGTGTTTGGGAGGGGGTGTGGGCTGGTGTGGGGGCTGGATCTGGACTGGGGTTGGGGAAGGGGTTGGTGCGGGGCAGCTACAGTCACTGGGCAGTGGAGGCTGGCCGTCGGAGATATGGTGGTGGACGACGGTGGCCAGAGAATGTGGCTGGAGCCGGTGACCAGAGATAGTGGGCGGTCTCAGTGGTCAGAGGCGACAACAGTGGTCACTATCGCTCGAATTAGATAGCGGTAAATGACCGGATCATGTAATTGTAATTAATCAGGTTTGGTAACGGGAACTAATCGGTTGGTCGGGTAAATGTAACTAATTCGATCGTGTAACTGTAACCGATGCGATGCGATTGGGTAACTTTAATTGGTCGAATTTGATAAATGTAATTAATCGAGTCAGGTAACTATAACTAATCGGATCGAGTAACTGTAATTGGTCAGATCGGGTAACTGTAACAAATCGGGTTGGATAAGTATAACTAATCGGGTTAGGTCACTGGGCGGGTCATGTCACTGTCATTATAAAGTAACTAGGGGTAATTTAGTAAGATTAAGCCTTACTGGTCACATTTTTAGAAATCTTAGAAAAATGTCTCTTTTTTTTCAAGAGCTTCATTTTAGTAATAATGATGAACAAACCCCTTGAAAAATCTGTCATGTTTAAAGTCAGGTACTGCCAAAACATGAAAGTAATTAGTCCTATATAAGGAATAAAAACATAATAGTTCTTGATGGAGTATATGGCCTAGGAACCCCCGGCCCATAGACTCCCACTACTATAGCGAAGGCCCAATAGGCCCAGGAAGCATGGCAGGCCCAAATCACAGCGCCCCAAGTGCCAAACAGCCCACGATGAACACTGGGGTGCCTTCGCCCCCCTGGCCGAAGGCTCCTAAACTTACAGTACAGCTGCTTTTAAGCACTCAAAGTGTCTGGGAGAACGCGGCGAAAACAGTAGCCCTCGGTATCTAGAGCCCTCAGCACCTAGAGGCCCCCGGGATGAAGAGCCTCCGGCCAACCATCTATGGCCGAAGGCATCTCCTCGACAGACTCTCCCGCCCACATGCGCTGGATCAACGTACCGAGTACAAAAGTCACATCCAACCACCACATTTAATGCAGCCACATGCGAGTGCCAGTGCCACCCCGTTGAGGTGACCCCTTGACCACCAGAATGATGACACGTGTCCCTATCTGACATTTATTGCTACTATAAATAGCACCCCTTCCCCCATTTGTAATCCACGCTCAACAGGCTCAATACATTCTCAGCAATACATATTCCCTCTCTTACTTTTGCTCCGACTTCTCTCTAAGTTACTCCCGCAGTAACCCCTCGGATAGATACCCCCCGGGTACACTTATCCATCATTTGGTGCTTTCATTGAGAGCCGAACAATCAAGTAAGAAACCCTCCCCTACAGCTAAAAACACCTACCAAAATGGGAAGAACCACCCGTGCTCAGTCCAAGAACCTTGAGGACAACAACCTGGCCCTCGGTGAAGTCAACGCCCCCGGAGCCTCTAACAAGGCTCCCGAGGGCAGGGTCATCACTGGGTTGGAACAGGCTGCTGTTGAACTGCGCCTTCAGCTCCAGCAAAACGCTCCCGATGCCCGCCTTGGCATTGAAACCCGAAGAAGGGACCAGAGCAAAAATCAAGTGAGCCCTCCGGTTCTCACTATCGACGTACAGTCGGCATTCTCTGCCTTCATCCAAACACTCACTGAAAACCCAGGTGCCTTCGGCACTCTGGTGCCCCTCTAACCGCAAATCGGGGAAAACACTGTTCTTCTCCCACGGCCACCCCCCTTCGTGAACCCTACCCCTCGGGTGGGGAACGACGAAGGGGTCGTAGCTCAAGACACCGCCTCCCAGGAGGTCCAATCCCGGGACCAACACGGTGCGAACAAAGAAAGGCCTCGGACCTCAGCCCTCGAGAGGCTCGGAGGAGCGCAAGACCGCCGAGGGGTCCAAGACCGCCTCAGTGGAAAGGCGTCCCAAAGACCCCAAGAGAACGGGGGATCCGTCTCTAGGGCAGATGAGAGGCGTCCCCACCAGGACAAAGGCAAGGCACCACTTCATGCCGATAACACAAGGCATCAAATCAATCAGGCCCACTCGGCCCGTGTTCGTTCGCAGGGGGCGGAGGCCCTCCCGAAGGATCCCAGGGATGAGATCATTGCGGTCCTCCAGCGCCAGCTTGATGAGATGGAGGCCCATCGGGCACATACCGCCATCACCACCCCTCATACAGATCCCAAATATGAGGCCGTGCTGACCAAGATGGAGGAGATACAGAAAAAGATGGCCGAGGGATCCGGGGAACCAACCATACAACTCCGGACCCGGGCGCCATTTACCCCAAGGGTATTGGCGGCCCAGATCCCTGAGAAATACCGAGGGCAACTCATCAAGCCCTACGACGGGAAGACTGACCCCCAGGAGCACTACAGTAGATATCAGAACATCATGATGATGGTGGGGGCATCAGATGAATATTTGTGCCGCTGGTTCCTTTCCACCTTAGAGGGGTCGGCCTACGAATGGTTCAACCGATTGCCCGAAGGCTGCATTGACTCGTGGCAAGAACACACCCAGCAATTCTTGACACAGTTTACGGGGAGACGCCAGACAAGAAAGCACTTCTCCCACTTGCTAACGGTGAGGCAGAAGAAGGAAGAGACCCTTCAGGATTTCTTCGAACACTGGAGGACGGAGGCCGACAAGGTTGACGGCGCCGATGACGGGACCCTCATGGCCCTCCTGCAGACCGTCCTCCGCACCGGAAACTTTTCGAGGAGCCTCATCATCGAAACTCCCCGCGATTACATAAGGGCCCTGCAGCAGGGGGATCGTTACGCCGAGGCCGAAGAGGTAGAAAGATATCATCTCATCCCCGATAAGCAACGCCCTCGGCCGGATGACAAAGGCAACCGGGGACTGGGGGCTTCCGCAAATCAATCCAAGGGCCAGGCACCCCCCGGTGATCTCCCCCGACACGGCCAAGCCAAGCCTGGGGGAGGTTACAAGGGTAACCCAAAGACTTGGGCGCAGCCTGTTCTCCTGGAGCACCCTCGGACACCCTTGATGCACCCCGTCAGTGTCATCCTCGACTTCGCTGAGGAGAGGGGCCTGGTGGAGCGAGATTCTCGTGCACCCCGGAGGTATATGCCATCAATCCAAACTACCCCTACTGTCGTTTCCACCCGACGTCAAGGGCACAAAACCGATGACTGTCATCAGCTGAAGATGACCATCGAAAGGTTAATACAGGCGGGCCATCTGTCCCAGTTTGTCCAAGGCCCTCAGCAACAGGGTCCTACCTTCCAAGGGCCACCCCGAGGGCACCCAACGAAAGAAAACGCTTGGGTTAACCCAAACACCATCCCCCTCGGCGACTCGAAGGGTAAGAAAAGGGAAATTGGAAACCTCGATGAGGAGGAAGAGTACAGCCAGTACCAGGAGAAGAAGCGCTACATCCATATGATCACTAGAGGTAACACAGAGGAGGACTTCTCTAGCCAGCGGAAGAAGTGGGCTCAATCGCTATACGTGGGGGAAATCACTCATATGCCCCCGGTAAAGCGGATGAGGGAGGAGCCCATCACATTCACAAACGCCGATCTCCCCCCTGCTTCCTCTCCACACAGGGATGCCCTCGTCATCTGTACGGAGATCAATGACACTATCATCCACAGAACTTACGTTGATACGGGCAGCTCTGTCAACGTGATGTACCTCAGCACTTTCAAGGAGATACACCTGGAGAGGGTGTCCCTTCGGCCCATAAAGACCCCTCTTGCCGGCTTCACCGGAGACACCATTGATTCTGAGGGGGTCATAACCCTCCCGGTACTATTCGGCGACGGGCTCCAAAGAGCCAAGCTCGAAGTGGAGTTCGTCGTCGTCAACATCGACTGCGCCCACAACATCATCCTCGGCAGACCAGCCCTCGAGGACCTCGAAGCCATTATCTCCATGAGGCATCTGTGCCTCAAGTTCCCCGTCGAAGGAGGCATCAGATACTCAAGGTGGAATCAAAAACTTGCCCGCGCTTGCTACCTTCGGGTGACAAAGAAGGTTAGTAAGACCGAGTTCCGTGTCGACACCATCACCAGAACCGTGGAGGAAGAAGAGAAGAGGCCGAGGGCTGAGCCCGCCGAGGAAGTAGAAGACTTCGCACTCGATCCGGCCAAGCCGGAGAGAGTTGTGAAGATTGGAGCCAAGCTCCCCGAAGATCTGAAGACCGGCATAACTGAATCCCTCCGCGCTTACTCCATTGTTTTTGCATGGAGGCCGGAGCACATGCCCGAAATCAGCCGAAGGGTCATCACCCACCGCTTCTCGGTGGACCCTTCGGTCAAACCTATACAACAGCGAAGAAGACCCCTCTCAGCGCAGAGGAGAGAATTTGTGAAGAGGGAGGTGGCCATGCTCCTCTCCATCAAGCACATCAAGGAGGTGAAATACCCCTCGTGGCTGGTGAACGTAGTCCTCGCACAGAAGCCACCCACCTTCCGCATGTGCGTGGACTACACAGATCTCAACAAGGCATGCCCTATGGACCCTTTTCCTCTGCCGAACATCGATCAACTCGTGGATGAGACCGCGGGGTGTGAAATCATGTCATTCCTCGACGTGTTCCGCGGATATCACCAGATTTTTATGCATGAGGAAGACGCAGAAAAAACTGCCTTCATGACTCCCGAGGGCATATTCTGCTATCTTGTCATGGCCTTCGGCCTGAAGAACTCAGGCGCCACCTACACCCGGATGGTGGCCAGAGTCTTTCAGGTCGTCCTAGGGCGCACCATGGAGGCCTATGTTGACGACATGATCGTCAAAAGCAAACAATCATCGAGCCATGCCGACGACCTCCGGGAGATCTTCGCCATCATGCAAAAGTTCAACCTTCGGCTAAACCCAAAGAAATGCACCTTCGGCGTGCAAGGAGGCAAATTTTTAGGCTACATGTTGAGCCGAAGGGGTATTGAGGCCAACCCCGAGAAAATCCAGGCCATCATCAAATAGAGCCCCCACGCAATGTGAAGGAGGTCTAACGGTTGACGGGCCGCCTGGCAGCCCTCAACCGCTTCCTATCCAAATCGGCGGAGAAGTCCTTACCCTTCTTCCAGATCATGAGGAAGACCGCCGGTTTCCACTGGACCTCAGAATGCCAGGAGGCCTTCGATGATCTGAACCGATATTTATCTTCACCCCCTGTGCTCTCCAAACCCAAGGTGGGGGAAACCCTATACCTCTACCTTGGAGTCATCCCGTCTGCCATCAGCTCAGTGCTCATCCAGGAGGAAGATGGCGTCCAACATGCCATATTTTATGTTAGCTAGACCCTCAGGGAGGCCGAACTCAGGTACTCCCCCGCGGAAAAGACTGTCCTAGCCATCGTTT